TATCTATGCGCTTCATAACCATTCAATTCAATCAAAAAGCTAGCTACATGTATAGATAAAGTCAAAATGTTTAGTTCGACTGACTCATGCATGTGTTATGAAAATCAAATTAAAGTTTATACACAATTTAAAATGATTTACACTGACAAGTTTGATCAAGGACGATTTACATTCCATCATTATTTTAGTTAATATTACCCAATATGTATTATTGAATAAAACCAGTGGTCCAGAGGTTAGGCGTTGGCGCACAAGATTGAAGGTCCTAGGTTCGAACCCTGTGAGGTGCAGGATTCGTGGATGCGCACTGTTGATGTGTAGTCCCATACCAGAACGAAATGGTCGTCCAGTGCTATCAAGTTTCTTCTAATGGTGGTCTAACAATGATCGATTGATGATTTCAATGTGCAACAAGCACTAATCTCCATAAAAAGTATTGTGGTGCGAGCTACTTATAAGTAGTATATGAGGTGAGTGTCAACGTAATGTCTGGCAGCAGAAGATAGGGGAAGGTCAAGAAAGGAAGAGTGGGAATACAATGGAATGAAACAATGGTATGAAACGCATGAATAGTGACAATGGATTGATGTTTTGCAACAGGAACATTCCAGTTCGATATGATGGACTGATATTTTGCAAATTAACGATTTATGATATGGTTTTCCGATTTTACTGAGTAACTCTGTAATTTTCGTTAAATAAAAATCCGGTTTCCCCACCTGTGTTCTCGTTCACTACAGTATATGTTAATCTATTTTTCCAGTTATTCTCCAACAAAGTGCAAAAACTTATCTTTCAAGCACGGAGAAACAAGAAAAACATTGTAAACTTCCTTAAATCAATCAACGCTAATTAGTATAGTCAAAATGAATGTTTCAAATCACTTTTATTCAAAAGAAATATTTAAGAGATAATTCTATTCAACGTTAACATATTTCTTTCCTCATACCCTTCTTTGTCTACTTACACAATTCATTAGTTTGTATTACGTAATTGACAATGATGACGATTAATAATCTTGACTTTTGACCTAGCCTTATTTGAAATTTACCATACTATATAAGTAAGTGATAAACGTTTTTTTTGGGTTTGTAATTAGGTATACGCAAGAGCCTCTGCAGCAGTAGGTCTCAACACACATAAAGGGAAAAACAAGATTCTCCGATGCAACACAACATGCACCAACCAAATCACTCTTGATGCAGATGCCTTGGAGGACGTCAACACCTTTACATATCTTGGCAGCATCATCGACAATCAAGGTGGATCCGATGCAGATGTGAGGGCACGGATCGGCAAAGCAAGGGCTACATTTCTACAATTGAAAAATATCTGGAACTCCAAACAACTTTCAACCAAAACCAAAATCACGATTTTCAATATAAATGTCAAGACAGTTCTACTGTATGGAGCGGAAACTTGGCGAACTACTTAAGCCATCATCGAGAAGATACAAGTGTTTATTAACAGTCGTCTACGCAAAATACTTCCTATTCGTTAGCCAGACACGATCAGCAACAACGTGCTGTGGGAGAGAACAAACCAGATATCAATGGAGGAGGAAATCAGGAAGAAGTGGTGGAGTTTGTGGATAGGACACACATTGCGGAAAGCACCTAACTGCGTCACGAGACAAGCCCTCACATGGAACCCCCAAGGCAAAAGGAAAATAGGAAGGCCAAAGAACACACTACGCCGAGAAATAGAGAAAGATATGAGAGGAATGAACAAACATTTGACAGAACTGGAGAGGGAAGCCCAGGATAGAGTTAATTGGAGAAAACTGGTGAGCGGCCTATGCTCCATTAGGGGGTAACATGAGTAAGTAATCATGTATACAATAAATGATGCAAGTGAATTGACAAGTTCACAAGTATCAAATTTTATTTGCTAATATGTAAGTATACATGTAGAATGAAGATAGAGTTACAATGATAAGTGTAGAGTATCGGGTTGAAACTTGTCAGACAGATACAACGCAGAACTTCGTACGTGAGTACATCAGTTCAGAGGCGCAACTGCCAGCTCAAATCCAACAGTGATAGCGATAGTAGAAGTATTAACAGTAATGGAGAAGATTAGGGAGCGAAGATGTGATTTGAGAAGTATAATTCAGTGAGATAAATTTAGAAGGAGAAGGATAGAGGTAATGAGGAATTCAGAAGGTTATAATTTGAGAGAACACAACGAATGAATGCACCTACGCCATTGCAAACGATTTTGAGCCATGTAGTTCAAAGTCTCTAACCATTGGTGACTTTCGTCTCGCGGACCCCAACCACGTAGCCTACATCTACCAACCTACTGCTACACCACAAAACATAGCTCGGTTGAAACTTGTACGACCAGTGTAGGGCCGACATGGATCAAAAACATCGGGTCGCATGGACTCATTTATTCTACGTTTACATAGCTCAGTCCACTTGTCAGTAATTTCATGGATTTGTGCCATGTTTTGGTTTGGCCGACCCTCTAGCTTTCGTCCAACCTATTTCTATATCACAAAACATCGCTCGTCAACATAAGTAACACATGTCCCAATCATCTGAGCTGATAACAGTGAAGTAACCTCATCCGTTGACTTGCCATCCTTACCTAGTATTCGTTTCCTAACAAACAGTCAATAATATCGACTAATCATATACATCATCAAAAGTTTCTTTTTAGCTGACTGTTATGAGTTTGTCAACACTTACTTGTCTAATTCATACGAAAATAAATAGTTATTTCATGAACTTGTTAGGATATTCATTAAATATCCTAAGAGAATTAATTATTTTTTATAAGTCTTATTCTATTGGTCCATTTCTGCAGGTCACTATTATGATCGTCCTAACTGTCAATGTCACATACTTCAAATGTTGTTGTTTCTTATTTCGACCTAATTGTATAAAAATACGCATTATCCGTAACGTTTTTTATGACCTGGATCCTTAGTCCGGGGTCCTGATTCTCTTCTGAACTCAAACCTCATACTTTCTGGAATACAGGTTCCACTACATACCAGTCAGTCAGTTGCAACGTAGAACTTCGTACGTAAGTACATCAGTTCATGTAGCCATACCACATCAGCACAGAGATATAATTGTCAATTCAAATCCAACAGTAGTAGAGGTAGTAAAGGTATTAGAAGTAATCGGAGAGGTTATGATTAGAAGATATTATTCAAGAAGTATGATTCAGTGAGAAAAGTTTAGAAAGTCGAAACTAGAGGTGTTGAAGAATACAGAAGATTAGGATTTGAGAGAACACAAAGAATAAATGCACCGGCGCCATTGCGAACGATTTTGAGCCATGTCATTCAAGGTCTCTAACCATCGATTATTATCATCTCGCGGACCCCAACCAGGTAGTCGACAATTACCGACATGACTCAGTCCACTTCTCAGTACCTTCATTCATTTCTGCCATATTTTATTTTGGCCGCCCCTAGCTTTCTTCCAACCTACTCCTACACCACAAAACCTAGCTCGTCGAGGCAGTCGGTGGTTAGGCATACGCTGCACATGTCCCAACCACCTTAGCTGATGAAGTTTCATTACTTCATCTATTGAACCCGTTTCCTAATAACAGCGTTGCTCACTCGACTGTCCCGGAATATACGAGCAATGCTTCGAAGACACCTATGATAGAAAACCAGTAACCTACGAATATCTTCTACTCTCACTGGCCATGTTTCACAGCCATAAAGTAAGACGGAGTGAATCACTGCCCGACCGTAGCTGCTACCTTGACGATGTGGTCGGGCTTGCCTATCGTGATGAACCAACCGAGCTGTACTGGCTGGAACATATGTTCCTGACGGTAGAACCTTCAGGACCCTAAAAATGTCACACCTCAACCTACCTCACGAATTTCCGTCTCCTTGGGTAAGGGTGCCCACTAAGGGGCTTTAAAAGCGGAGCTAATACTCAAAAAACCTTTCATAAAAAGGCCGTGCATGACCGGCCTCAAGCAGTTGTCCCTTGGACTCTGCGGTCACGCAACCAGGTCTCCAAGACCAACACTAATCTATTTTCCTTTTCAGGTCCCTCAAGAAACAACCTTCCACGGTGTGGGCAGCCGGGAAGTGATAACCGCCCTCATACCCGTAACAGTACGAGAGATAAAATTGGTCAAAATCAAATCCTTACTACATACCAAGTCTTCTTTCTTACTCAATCGGGGGGAAGGGGTTTAGGACAATCGGATTAGAGTAGCATATCGTGTCGCCAGATCCTTCCTTGATCCTCACTCTCGTTTTCCGACTAAGGTAAACACACGCAATAGTTCAAGCCTATCAAAATGACATGCATTCGTAACAGAACTAACTACTTACTAGCATATCATAAGATTATTTAGTGGGGAAAAAATAGACGACATTTTTGATTCAGTACTAAGAAATATGTATATATATATATGTATATATATAATCACACAAATGTAGAAGACTGACATAATAATTCATACTGCTACTACTACTAATGATAATCATAATAATAGTAATAATCTAAACATTTTGTTTGGCAGCGAAACCAAACACAACACAACACAACACAAGGAGACCCAAAAAATAAAGAAAAAAAGAAGAAAAACACACAGGATAATTTAATAATGTCATTCGAATTGGTCGTGATTTGTGCTGCTACGGTTGCTGCTAACCAGAGAATGAAACAAAAATGCATTGGATGAACAAAACTTTCTCCTGTTTCGCTTTCTGTTTTTTCGTCACACAAAAAACAAGATACATGAAAAAATAATAATAATTGTTGGTTTACATTTTGCTGTGCGGAGGGGGGGGCGCGGCGGAAATAAGCACAAACATGATAATAATAGTAATAATGTGGATGGTGTCTTTACAAATTCACACAAATTTGACAGAATAAAACAGAATATAAGGGCGAAAGGAGTGGTGAGGAGAGCAGACGACGACAACAACAAATCGACAAGGATGTGTGTAAGTAGACAATAACAACAACAACAAGAAAAAAACATCCTTCGATTTAAAACCATCACTTGTGTCATGAAATTGAAGTATTTGTCTCTCCTATCATTGTATTGTATTGTGTGCGATCGATCATCAGGTGGATAAGAGGCTTAAACTATCGGATGGATGAGATAATACACCGGCAGCAGCACCACCACCACCAGCAGCAGTAGCTTTGGATGGAGCGGAAACAGCAACAGGATTGACTATAACAGACTCAACGACACCATTCGGTGATAAGATAGATTTTTTACGAACTGCCGGTACACTGTCTGGAGTAGCCATAGTTTCGCCAGTTGATTCATGAAGTATAGCTTCTTCAGTTTGAGGAGGGAGTACATGTTTTTGTTGTTGTAAAATTTTTGCTCTTGCCATATTGTAATCGCCGGAATCGAAGTATTTATGCTATGTAATTATGCATACATAATAAAGTGTTATTTAGAACAGGTAACATGAAGAGAAATTAAGTGATAACATCATTACAATAATAAAACAATGATTATTTATGTCCAGTATGTATTACTAACCCTGATCATGAAATTCCTGAGAAGCAACAAGTCAAAAATGAGTTATTTGAGCTGTTGGTGGACCAACATTGATTTTAGGAGGTGGTACATGGATGCTGCTGATTCGATGTTGGGTGGGTTATTTAGGGCTGGTCGATTCAAGAGTTCCTTCTAAAGTGCTCTGATGCTCGAATGGTATTATGAACCTATTGTTGGCAATCGGTTACCATAAAACTGCATCTCCTGATAATTGTTCAACTGCCTTGTAGAATAGGACACTTGGTCAAAGGCTCGAACAATGGCAACTTAATGAAACTAATTCCTGTGAAGACCACATCTTCACACTACAACAGGTCCTGGAACACAGACACACATTTAGACGTCCGACAATAGTTGTGTTCCTGTACCTTAACGCGGCATTTGACTCTTTGGATTATGAGGTTCTGTGGCAGTGTCTGTCATTGAAAGGTGTACCAAAGAAGTACATTGACCTCATCATACAAGCTCTCTACTCGAACACCACTGATCGAGTAACAGCTTATAGCGAACTGTCACCGGAATTCTCTACTTTAAGTGGTGTCCGTCAGGGATGTCCACTCTCTCTATTCTTGTTTAATTTTATCATAGACATGCTCCTATATATAACCTTATCCTCGTCTGAATTTTCAGGAGTAGACCTTTTACCAGGTGGCTCGCTTATTGACTTAGAATATGCCAATGACATTGTCCTACTTGGTGAAGACGCTAACAAAATGAAGAGTCTTCTGACTACCATAAGCAACAATGCAAGCATATTCGGGATGCGGTTTTCCCCCTCGAAATGCAAAATGTTGCTTCAAGATTGTGATTCATCGGCACCTGAACTAGTGATAGGGAGTGAAGTAGTCGAACGTGTAGACCGCTTCACTTATCTGGGGAGTCTCATCAGTGCTGATAGCCTGGTGACTGACGAAATCTCAGCTCGGATACAGAAGGCTCGATTGGCTTTTGCCAACCTGCGTCACTTATGGCGTAGGCGTGATATCCGTTCTCTAATCAAAGGACGAGTGTACTGTGCAGCAGTTCGCTCCGTTCTCCTATATGGCTGTGAAACATGGCCAGTGAGAGTAGAAGATATTCGTAGGTTACTGGTTTTCTATCATAGGTGTCTTCGAAGCATTGCTCGTATACCGTGGGACAAACGAGTGAGCAATGCTGTCGTTAGGAAACGAGTACTAAGCAAGGATGGCAGATCAATCGATGAAGAAATGAAAATTGATCAGTTGAGGTGGTTGGGACATGTGTTGCGTATGCCGAACCACCGACTGCCTCGAAGAACTTTGTTTTGTAGTGTAGGAGTAGGTTGGAAGAAAGTTAGGGGCGGACAAACCAAAACATGGCAGAAATCCACGGAGTCATTGACGAATGGACTTAGCCATGTCGGTAATTGTCGACTACTTGGTTGGGGTCCGCGAGATGATAATAATCGATGGTTAGAGACCTTGAATGACATGGCTCAAAATCGTTCGCAATGGCGCCAGTGCATTTATTCTCTGTGTTCTCTCAAATCCTAATCTTCTGTATTCTTCAAAACCTCTAGTTTTGTCTTTCTAAACTTTTCTCACTGAATCATACTTGTTTAATAATATCTTCTAATCGTGACCTCTCCGATTACTTATAATACCTTTACTACCTCTTCTACTATGGGATTTGAATTGACAATTACATCTCTGTGCTGATGTGGTATGGCTACATGAACTGATGTACTTACGTACGAAGTTCTACGTTGCATCTGACTGGCTGACTGATGGGCTACAATAATCAAGTATAGGTTCATTGATTTGTCTTCAACACTAAATTGTCTACACCAGACCAGGGGAGTTCAACCCTTTTGGGTGTAGGCATATACCTGCCGAAGACAATGGGTATGGTTGCGTGCAAATCTTTACATTGGTCATAGTTAGACATTAACACCGTTAGATGCCCCCGGCTCAGTGGTCCAGAGGTTAAGCGTTCGAGTGCAAGATTGAAGGTCCTGGGTTCGAAGGCTGCGAGTGGTGGAAGTTATAGATGCGCAATGCTGATGAGCTCCATAAACTAGGACGAGAAGGTCATTTAGTGCTTCCAAGTTTATTCTAATGGTGGTCTAACAAAATGATTCATTCATGAGTTCAATGTGTAAAATTGTGTAGTCCCATTAGTCATACCATAAGACTGATCAAATTAAAGAATATGGAGAAGTCATTCAGTCAGTTACAACGTAGCACTTTGTACATACGTACATCAGTTCACATCGCCATACCACATTAGCACAGAGATGCAATCGTCAGTTCAAATCTCATAGTGGTAGATAGTGATAGTAGAAGTATTATCGGTAATAGAGAATATTAGGGCTTGAAGATGCTATTCAAGAAGTATAGTTCAGTGAGATAACTTTAGAAAGAGAAAGATAGAGAATGATAAGGTATTCTGAAGATTAGAAGTTCAGAGAACACAAATAGTGCATGCATCTGCACCGAAGTATGTGGAGAAAGGTTATCTCAACGATAAAATATCTGTACAATATGATTGGTGAAAATGAAACGCATGCATCAGTAAGATCGGAACTTAGACCGACAACGTTGCAATCAACTACCGCCAACGTAATTATGGACATGGCGACACAAACAACTCAGACAATGATGATTCTACTGTAGTTTTTTTCACATTCTTCAAAAACAAATGCTTTTCATTCACATGTTGTCTAGGTTAACTGTACCTTTTATCATAAACTACTTTTGCTCACTTAGTTGTATACCCCTTTGATTAGATTTATGATCTCAGACTTGGTTGTATTTTCGGGTAATCAAACCATGGAACTATAACTTCTGAGGTCTGTTTAGTCGGTAGGAGTGATTTCCAGAGCACCTAAAGTGTGTGCAACACAAACACTCGTAGTCTTCGAAATAAAACGTCTGAGCTAAGTTTAATGACAGATAAATTAAGTCCTGATATAAACTTTGATGCAGAAATGTGGTTCTTGGTAGATGTAGATTGTTCCACAATCGTTACAGGATGCATCTGTATTAGAGATGATAGGGGGTCACATACCACAAAGAACGAGGGGTATTATTTTATGTTACAGATCAAGTTAGTATACAATCGAGCGTATGAGAAGCATACGAGAGCGGTACGTGAGTTGTTGCTTGTTATATAACGAAGTCTAGACATGATGGGTTAGTAGCTACAGAAAGGATATACTGTAGTTTATGTTGCCACGCTGATAACTTTATCCAAAGTCATATCTGTACTAGGAGTAAAGCTGATTGTTGTCTCATCGTTGGAGATTCAAACACGCCACACATCAATTAGATGATGGTTACAACTTCAGGTGGATATTTCGACGTCAGTCAGCTATTGTCAACTATCATTCAACGTGCACTTGTGCAATGAATCGCGAAACCGATACATATTATTGACTTGAAACATAAACCATCACTTTGTAGACTTTGATTTTATACACCACAGTGATGATGATGACATCCATACCCTGTAGTCACCCCCCACTAACGAATAGCAATTACGTAGTATACTGTATTTTAAGTTTCAGACAATAAACATAATGTATCTGCTCCACACCGTCCTAATATCCAGAGGGCTAACATCCTGAAAATCAGAGACTATGCTATCTCAACAGATCAGTTGGTCGATGATGAGTGGAATATGTCTAGACACATTGGAATCTGTAACATTTACGTGCATGCCATGGTAAACACATGAGCTATCACATAGGAAGACTTGGAGAGTGTTGCGGTGTAGGAAAAACTTCTGAGATCTGTTCCTGTCAACGTACGACGAATCTTACAAGTGTGAATACCGGAAAATATGTAGAAAGACCATTGTAAGAGGTCACACCACTAACGAGAGACATTTGGCATATGGTAGCCGTACTTATCCATAACGATTATATTCATACACTAAACCAACAAAACGTAGTGATGAAATTCCCTTTTTATTACTGCACGAAAATTCAGATAAACTCGCTGAGTCAGATTTGACCGAAGCTTAAGCTTTATCAAACTATTTTAATGAGATCTTTTCTATGGGCATTGTTAACAATTCTCATAACCATACCACCAAGATACCAACCATAAAATCAGTATATATGACTGTAGAAACTTCTTCAATTGCTCATTAACCTCAAACTTTCTGAGCCACCGCAATCTGGTGGGTTACACCCACGATTGCTGTCAGCCCTCACGAACACCACTGTACAACCAATAAGTGATACTATTCGACATGTCCCTTCCCCAGGCCCAACTTCCTAGAGACTGGAAGGATGCCATAGTTATTCTCATATTTCAATTCAGATGGCCTGGTGACTGACGAAATCTCAGCACAGATACAGAAGGATCGAATCAGTCAGTCAGTAAGATGCAACGTAGAACTTCTTACGTAAGTACATCAGTTCATGTAGCCATACCACATCAGCACAGAGATATAATTGTCAATTCAAATCCAACAGTAGTAGAGGTAGTAAAGGTATTAGAAGTAATCGGAGAGGTTATGATTAGAAGATATTATTCAAGAAGTATGATTCAGTGAGATAAGTTCAGAGAGACCAAAGTAGAGATGTTGAAGAATACAGAAGATTAGGATTTGAGAGAACACAAAGCATAAATGCACCTGCGCCATTGTGAAGGATTTTGAGCCATGTCATCCAGCGTCTCTAACCATCGATTATTATCATCTTGCGGACGCCAACCAGGTAGTCGACAATTACCGACATGGCTAAGTCCACTCGTCAATGACTTCATGGATTTCTGCCATGTTTTGGTTTGTCCGCCCCTAACTTTCTTCCAACCTACTCCTACACTACAAAACAAAGTTCTTCGAGGCAGTCGGTGGTTAGGCATACGCAACACATGTCCCAACCACCTCAACTGATGAAGTTTCATTTCTTCATCTACTGATCTGCCATCCTTACCTTGGGCTCTGCGGTCACGCAACCAGGTCTCCAACACCAACACTAATCTATCTTCCTTTTCCCACAAGGAAAGAAGGGTTAGAAAAGATCGACCGTAGAAATGTCACACCTCACCCTACCTCACGGATTTCTGTCTCCATCAGTAAGGGCTGCCCAATAAGGGCTTTTAAGAGCGGAGCTAATACTCAAAATTCTTTTCATAAAAAGGCCGTGCGTGACCGGCCTCAAGCAGTTGTCCCTTGGGTACTGCGGTCACGCAACCAGGTCTTCCTTTTCAGGTCCCTCAAGAAACAACCTTCGACGCTTTGGGCAGCAGGGAAGTGACAACCGCCCTCATACCCTTAACATCACGGGAGACCAAATTGGTCGAAATCAAATCCTTCCTACACCCACACATACCTCTCTTCTCTCCACAACTATCTCTACTCAGATTCGCTTATCTCACTGCACCGCTAATGCAAACGATGCGAGTTCACGAAACGTCATTCCTGGTCTCTTGAAACCTCGTTCTAGACTACATGTTGGAGCATTTAATGTACGGAAATTGTGTCAAATAGGGCAACAGGCATCATTAGCTAGTTCTTTAGAATCTCGTGCCATCGATGTATGCTGCGTCTCGGAAACGCGCATACAGGATCCTAGTACAATTATTAATCTGATTTCACCTTGTCAAAATAAAGAAGCAGTTCGATTTACTCTTCTTGTATCTGGAAGCCCTGATGCTGATTCCCGAGGTCTTGCTGGCGTAGGCATAGCATTGAGTCGTAGAGCTGAACAATCTCTCCTTGACTGGATCCCAGTAGATAGTCGCTTATGCGCTGTCCGACTGAACGGGACAGTAAGGACTCGGAAAGATAGGGACACTCGCCGTTGCCTCTTCGTCGTATCTGCCTATGCCCCGACTGACTGCAGCTCAGACGAGGTTAAGGATGAGTTTTACAGAAAGCTTTCGGACCTCCTCCAAAACGTTAGGCGCTCTGATGTAGTAAAAATGGCTGGTGACTTTAATGCTCAAGTAGGTAGACTAAGTGAAAATGAAAGACACCCAGGTGGATGTTATGGTGTCGCGGCTCAGACAACGGACAATGGTGACCGTCTGTTGCAAGTATGCTCAGACAACCGCCTATTCTTAGCAAACACTAACTTTAGGCATAAGGAAAAGCATCTGTTGACTTGGCGACCTCCAAAGTCGTCTCAACGTTGGACCCAACTAGATCACATTGCCATCAGCCACCGATGGAGGGGTTCGATAGAAGACTGTCGCTCGTTGTGGGGCACATGTTTAGATTCAGATCATGCCCTAGTGCGAGCTCGTATTTGTTTGAGGCTTACTGGGCGTAGGAAAGACACCTTAAGGAAGCCTCTTGGGGTTTTACTTAATGATAATAGGGCGAATCGCTTACATAGCTGCTCAACTCTCTTTGTAGTTGTTCCTGAAATATATTCTTCGCCTTCCTACACTACAAAACAAAGCTCGTCGAGGCAGTCGGTGGTTAAGCATACGCAGCACTTGGCCCTCGTGGACTCGCATCGTTTGCATTAGCGGTGCAGTGAGATAAGCGAATCTGAGTAGAGATAGTTGTGGAGAGAAGAGAGGTATGTGTGGGTGTAGGAAGGATTTGATTTCGACCAATTTGGTCTCCCGTGATGTTAAGGGTATGAGGGCGGTTGTCACTTCCCTGCTGCCCAAAGCGTCGAAGGTTGTTTCTTGAGGGACCTGAAAAGGAAGACCTGGTTGCGTGACCGCAGTGCCCAAGGGACAACTGCTTGAGGCCGGTCACGCACGGCCTTTTTATGAAAAGAATTTTGAGTATTAGCTCCGCTCTTAAAAGCCCTTATTGGGCAGCCCTTACTGATGGAGACAGAAATCCGTGAGGTAGAGTGAGGTGTGACATTTCTACGGTCGATCTTTTCTAACCCTTCCTTCCTTGTGGGAAGGCAGCATCGCTGCAGATGCTGGTTGTCCGAGGTAAACACCTTACTGCTGCCACACCTGCAGTCAGCAGTACGATTCCGCCCTGACCTTGGGTAGCTGCTTTTAGTCTCATCGTTCTCCAATCGACCAGCCTGGCATGGTAGGACCTGCAGGAACATATGTTCCAGCCAGTATAGCTCGGTTGGGTCATCACGATAGGCAGGCCCGACCACTACGTCAAGGTGGCAGCTACGGTCGGGACTTGCGAATAACAGTAAGTCATACGTTGAAAACAACCACATAGTAATGCAGTAGCCGCCAAATGTTTCCGAGTATCACTGTCACATGGTCAAACATTCAACTGCTTTGTTGGGGGTGTTTTATGCCTCATCTGTATGAGACCTGACCTAGAGTGCTATCACACTTGAGCGTGTTCGCCATATAAGAGCTAAGTAGGTGACAGGTCTTCCCTAACTCCTTCATGATAAGCGCTTAAAACGCCTAAACTTTTTCACCTTATCATAGAATGCAAGGTGACCGTATTTTGGCATTCCGCATTTTGAATAACGATTCAGGTGTTGAAATGCCTTATCTTTTTGCTTCTTCCAGAACTTATCATTCCCGAAGCCATTGTAAGAAGGCTCAAAAACCGTGTTCATATAAACTTGAAGTTGGACTCTGTTTTTTACATTGAGTGGCTGATGACTGGAACACCTTGCCCAAACAAGTGTTATCAGTTCCATCAAGGAACACTTTCAAGAGACTCGATCTTCAATGAAAAGCAGTATACAAGGACTAACACAGGTCGAATGAATTACCGTCCTTATTGCCAAAATATAAAGCTGATAAGATAGAACAACTACAAAACACTTTAATCAACGTATTGGAGCTAGTTCACAGAAATAAAGTTTAAAATCTTTCGCAGCTTTTACTTGCTTAAAAGATTTGACAAATGATACTGATTTATGTATTGATTAATAATGCACGGCACTTAAACACTGATTTGACGAAATAGCTAGTCACTTCAGACATAAATAAGATGAGTGGATGACATGGACGTTTACAGAAAGTAGCCTGGGAAAAAAACTATTTGAGAATTAGAGAAAAGCCTACTAACATCTAACTAGTTCACTATCTAGTGGGTCAAATGAATAAATACAAGGTGGTTTATAAATGCCATACGATGAAGGGGGCCAATAAATGTTATGTATACGTTGTATTAAGTATCAAAATGAACTACCCAAATATGAAATCTACAGTGCACAGCTGGTCTTGACGTACTATTCTAAAGGGGTTTTCACTGTGCATAGTTATTTACTTGTTAAACAGTAAAATCATGGTACAAAGAATATGCTTACCCCACGATTCAATCGTTTTTGCAATAACAGGGAACCAACACCTTGTTTGTTGAGACCTGGATATTTTGCCTTGAGCTTACTTTCCTGTTCTTCCTCAACAGATGAAGTTACATTCTAAGACAAGTTGATAACAGTCAAAAATCAACGTACTATACCAACGGCTGGAGGATTGTTCTCCATTTGAGGACATTCAAATAAATAGCTTGACTTGCCGCCAAAAAATTTAAGTCAAAAGAACAACATAACGTAAAATGGTAAGATTCAACTTTTGGATATAGCTTTTATTGATCATTAAAAGGATGTAAAAAAATTAATTTTTCTATTGAATCAAATGTCCGTTAGTAATGAACTGTAGGTGCCTTTAAGTACAGAATGAGATATATCATACTAAGTTAGATTTTTGAGGAGCTTGGTTTCTTACTATATATCATACAGCACAAAACATAGCCAGAAGTTCCAAGCCAAATGTGATATATACCTGTTCATTGTCATCTAACCGTCTCGAGATAAAGGGTAAAGGTTGTTGTAACAGTCCTCCAACTGCTGAGTTGGATGCGTGCTGTGCGACACTACTAAGTGCTCTGGTGTTGAGACATGCCGACGAAAATGCTTCCTTCTCGATGTCGTCCAAGTTAAATATTTTCACATTTCCATTTGGTTTGTCAGTTAAGAGTCTCATAACAGACGTTCAATTCAGTATTAGTCGTTGTCAAAAACTTACCAGTGCATTAAACGTGCGTAGTAGCCCAGCTATGGTAATTCTGAATAGCCGAAGTTTTGTTTCCCAACAGGGTGATACTGTGGGCATCAATGGTAAGCGCGAGAAAGTTGAGGAAATCACTTACTGTTTGACAATTCTGTATGTTAACAGTAATGCCAAGTGTTTTAGTCATAGGAAAACAAGATCCAGATGCTGGAGATGAGATTCTCCGTCCGGACCAGCGATTTGAAATTCGTAAACATAAGTATGCACAAATTTGAAACCTCAAAACATAATCAGTGTATTTCTGGGAAGTTTGAACGGCATTTCTTAAGGCGAAATGCATATGCAAAAATTCGTGGTATCAAACAGGAGATAGGATAGTCCTTTTAGGCGGGTTTTCCACAGCCATATGAATTTGCCTATACCCTGAAAATGCAATCGTTCCCTTCAAGTTAGGAGTTAAGTTTCGCATGTAAAACAACGAGTAACAATCAGGTGTTGCTCTCGTGTTCAGTTGTCGATAGTCACTCGTTAGACACCAGTCATCGCTGTTTTTTTGGAACCATATGTAATGGGGATGTTTACTGGATGTTTGTCGGTCAGGCAGTTCGCAAATCTATCATGTGATCGGTATTTTGGTAAATCTTATCCTTTCAAGAGTTGGTCGTTGGGTATTTGAGAATAAACGTGGTCCTGTAGTCTTATTCGGCTATGCAACACTGCTAGTTACACGGGGAATTCGTGGTCACATTTGGTACGGTTTCGTGCACCTGTCCAGTATTTGTCGAAAGAACTTGTCAGTTATGTGTTTAACCGTGACTAGGCATAACCTTCAACCAGAGAGTGAAACTCCACAAAACAGATAGTTAGCATTACTTCTTACTGATCTTAATCTGCTTAGGTTGATGAGTAGTTTGTGGGGTTGCAGCAACTCCACATCAGTTATTGGAAACTGTCATAACAAAAATCTAGTGAATGAGCTTTCGTGAACCCATATTAAGGTAAATGTATATTTGGGCGTAAGTAGCCATAGGTTTTCCCTTTGACGCATGTAGATTGAAAACTGGATCGTTTGAACGATCTTTTATGTTTACTTGAAGAACTCTAACTTCTGTGCCAGAGTTAACGTGATAGCAAACCTTCTTTATCACATCAGTGGTGTAAAGAAGATGGATTTATCCACCGTTGCCGTTAACTCTCGTATGTGTGTAAGTCTATGACGGAAGAGTTTTGGCTAGGGAAACTATGGGACTTTTTACACATTCTGGATGATTTACCGTAAGTGTTGTTTTGTCAACAACAATACGTTTATTGGTTTATATTGGTCTAGAAAAAGATCTATACGATTGGTTTGGTTGGGAGTCTTTAATTGTTTGCGGTCATGCTTCAGGTTCAGAAAACAAGTAATTATATCTCAGAGCGTTGCAGTCTCATTTTGGTTCCATCAAGGTTTTCGGTCGATATAAAATTCCTCTGAGATGTTGGTTCCGGAGACGTCAAGAATCTGATAGTCTAGCTAATTCGTTCATGGCATTATTGTAAAATGAGACAAGAACAGTTGGCATCGTTTGGGGAAGTATGAACAAAAAGAGTTTTCGGAATAGGCCTTTGTCAAACGTTTGCTGGTCAACGGACTCTCTCATACTTAGCAATATTTCTGTTGCTCAGCCATATTGCAATTCAGTATCATAAAATAGTTGGTCAAACCTTGGAAGACTGGTTGTGTCTCCATACTTATGAATCGCTCTTTTCAGGGTGTCATAAGTTTCTAGGAAATCACTAGTAAACAAACTAGGGGTAACATACCTGGTAGTGCCTTTAATACAGCGATAAGATGCTCGTGCGTGTCTGTCGTATCGGGACCGTGAAAGTTAGCTCCTGTATGGCAGAACCAAGCTTCAATATTTTTAGGCCAGAATGTCATAAGTCAAAATTGCGGAGGCGTAGAAGCTTAAATCTTAAAAAGCCTCTGTGTGCTACGATCTAATTAGAGTAAAATATACATGTGAGAGAAAAAAACAAAAACTAAAATACTGTCGTGACATGTAGAAATGTTTAAATACAAATAATTTCTCGACAAAGAGCAGTCTTACAGTATCTCGTCGAGTGTACCAGATCACGTTGTGCTCACCAATGTGGATGTCACAGACACTCGGAGTTAGATGACGCTCTTGTTCGTAACGCTTTTCAGAACACGGATACCCAAATCCAAGTCGAACCAGAAGTCAGTGATGTGGGAGATCAAATGTATATTTAAACGATAGTTGGAATGTTAAGGAGTAAATTATCTAAACCGGCTAGCTGGTGCGAGAGAAAGTGTAGTACATTGTTCGAAACCGTGATCTGGTTCAGATGCGTGATCGACTGTCTTCAGCCAGATGTGTCAACTGAAACTAATGAGGCTTGAAACAATATCGAAGGCCTGCAGAACTATTGGTTTTAGGGATTTCTTTTACTTAAAGTCATCATACTTTACTCCCCGGAAATATTTATATGCTTTTGAAGAAAATGGTAAGCTAATCAAAGCAATTTATTACATGTCAGTGTAATTGGATTTTCTACCGTGGCAGTTCAAATGGTTTCCAGTAAGTGCAATTTGTACGCGTATCTCCCAGTCCAAGGTCCAAACAACTCAATAATTCTAGGAGAAAACGGTCTATATTATATTAAAAGATGGAAATACAAGCAATACCTGAAGTTGATGCACCTTCCAAGGCACAATTACTCCGAGGAGTATCCAAGGCAAAGGGGAACAAGTGACGTTAAGTCCAGCGGCTACTCTATCAATCCAAATATGGCTGTAGCCATATTAACGATCAAATTTAAACAACATATATACAGTTCAGAAGAAAACATAAAAACTTCAATATAAGTACAAAATATAGAAATAATAACAATATACAATGATAAAATCTCAAATTGGAATCAAATAAAATACCAAAAATGTCAACAGAAAATGTCCGTCATGTCATAACAAAAATATGTAAACATGGAGGGATTTTCCAAAAAACAAAACATTCAAAAAGGATTCTACACCGGGCCGGAAAATCCCTCCATGCAAAAAAGGCAAGCGTTAATGACACTTCTATTTAGGGTTCCCACTCATCCCCTAATCCACACCGGAAGAACGTGTAGGACTTACAGCAGTACGCCTACCCGCCCTCCAACATGGATATGACCTATCAAGCTAACTAGGTAGCTATACCTCCCCATCAGGCCCTTGATTCCCCTATCTATCGTAGCATGACCTAACGGTAGTATAAACCTTACCCAATTAACCCACACGAACATGTACAACACGTCGTTAGGCTGGTCATATCCTATCCGGGAACTACATTCCATATCATGGGGATGAGTCGTCAATCCACCACCACTTGCTCCGATCAGCAGATACAATGAAGTCCGTGATGCTGACTTATTAACAGAAGTTCTTGACCCATAGATAATATGCAAGGGTGGGATCTCCAATTTTGACATTTCTTCGTCTCCAGAAGACTTTAAGTAGCATAACATGGGATCAATATTTATCTCTCCATCTCCTGATACAGAGGAGGTTTGATCAGCATTCGTCATCGTCGGTAACTCATTTGTCACATCAGTGACATCCAGATTATTATCATCGTCATCATGATTCCATTGTGTCAGACAAGTTGCGTCGATTCGGTCTGCACTAGCATCCGTAGAGTGAGACTCTTCCATTGTGGTATAACTCATCTCGCTACATGAAAGAACAGCATTAGTGTCACAATCCAAAGCCGATAAACTCACTTGTTGTTCTTCATGTTCCGTTTCAGAGACACAAGACGTATGCACATCAATAGCATCGTTATCATGCAACACTGTAGACTGACTGTTACCATCAGACGCTTCCTTCTCATCATCACTTGACTGACAGTCAACCGAAGTAGGAACACTTACAGTTACACAACCTTGTGTATCCTCAATCAACTTAACATTCGCGACAAGGTCCGATGACGTCGAAACACTAGAAGGCTCGTTCGATGAAGTTGATCGACTAGTCACTATAAGTGGACTGCTCACACTTTCTGTCTCCTTATTATCGCTGTCACTACTAAGATTCTGATGACTACTATTTCCATTGCTAGTCATAGCATCCGAAAGAGAATGATGTTTAGGCTTCTTAATAATAGTAGCATCATGTTGTTTCCTAGGCTTCTTAGCCTTTACAGTACCGCCATCACTCGTCCTAGAATCAACTCTAGGTCCCGTTATATAATTTACCCTAAGTGAAGGGTTCCGAACATAGGCTTTATTCCGTCCAGACAATCCTGCCTTGGCCTTATTCATATTTACTGAACTCACTAACCTCTGTTTACTCGAATCCAAATAACCGTTCCAGGCTTTTCGAGCAGTTAAGAGGCTTTTATCATCACACACCTCGGATCCATCTTGATGCCTACACTTTTCGCCTTTTTCTTTCTTTTCCATACTTATAAAAGCCATCTTATCTGTTACA